AGCTATTCGTTTTCTGTTGCTGCATAACAAGTTATCCTTAAACTTAGCGGCTTAGAGCAACACACATTTATTACATCCCAGTTTCTGTGGATCAGGCATCCAGGCACAGCTTAGCTGGGTCCCCTGCTCAGGGTCTCTCCCCAGGCTGCAATCAAGTGTCAGCCAGGACTGGTGTCTCATCTCATGGCTCAACTGGGAAGGAGACACTTCCAAGTTCATGTCTTCCCTCACAGGCTGTTGGACTGACAGCCTCAGTTCCTCACTGGCTGTTGGCCAGAGCCTGCCTTTGGGTTCTCCTCTTCCTTTCCTCGGCCTCCCTTCGCCTTCCACCCCCCCTGCAGCTTGCGTCATCAATGTGTGCAAGTCAAGGGGGCCATTGGGAAAGTCTGCTAGCAAGACAGAAGTCACAATCTTTTGTAATCCAACCATTCCATCACCTTTGCCATACTCTACTGGTAAGCAAGTCATGAAATCTGGCCCAAACTCAAAGAAGGAGATTACACAAGGTCACAGATAACAGGAGGCGAGGGTCATTGGAGGCCCTTGTAGAAGTCTGCTTCCCACAGGTGAGGAAGTACCTGCAGAAAAATACCTAAAACTATACTCCCCTCTGCGTCTAGACTGTTCTTGAGAAGTACTCAAGGAGACAGCCTTTTAAATGAATTAAATGGCAAAGAAGAAAAGTCATAAAAATGTCAACATTTCTAAAAAAATTTAAGGGCTGAATTCCTAATAGTTTATAAGCACTGAACTTAATTTCTAATGAGACTGCCTTTTAAATATAGTAACTAGGGGGACTTCCCTGGTAGCACAGTGGTTAAAAATCCGCCTGCCAATGCAGGGGACATAGGTTCGAGCCCTGGTCCGGGAAGATCCCACATGTCGCGGAGCAACTAAGCCTGTGCACCACAACTACTGAGCCTTCGCTCTAGAGCCCGCGAGACACAACTACTGAGCCCTCATGCCACAACTACTGAAGCCCGCATGCCTAGAGCCTGTGCTCTGCAATGAGAGAAGCCACCGCAATGAGAAGCCCACACACTGCAACGAAGGGTAGCCCCTGCTCACCACAACTAGAGAAAGCCCACGCACAGCAGCGAAGACACAATGCAGCCAAATAAATAAATTTATAAATAGTAACTAATGGAAAATAGGTAACTCACCTGTAATTAACCAAAACCAGAGGGTCCTCATCCCCAACCTGACCCCCAGTCAAATTCAATGTATTGTCCTCAGGAGAGTCTGAGGGTGTTTCAGTCACCTATTGCCAAATAACAATAAGCTAAAGTTTAGTGGTTTAAAAAAACATTTATTTTGCTCCCAGACCTGCAATCTGGACAGGGCTCAGTGGGAGCAGCTCATGTCTGGAGCAACTTGAAGACGGGGAGCTGGAATCTTCTCAACGCTATCTTTTTTATTATTATTTTTTTTTTTTTGAGGTACGCGGGCCTCTCACTGCTGTGGCCTCTTCTGTTGCAGAGCACAGGCTTCGGACACGCAGGCTTAGCGGCCATGGCTCACGGGCCCAGCTGCTCTGCGGCATGTGGGATCTTCCCGGACAGGGGCACGAACCCATGTCCCCTGCATCGGCAGGCGGACTCTCAACCACTGCGCCACCAGGGGAGCCCTAGATCCCATATCTTGATGGAGGAACCTCAAGATCTTATCATAAGACGGGCACATGGGATGGGATTCATCTTTGGAAAAATGCAATCTGCCACAGAGAGCAAACTAGTCCCCTATCCCGTCCCTCAGCTTTCATGAGTGTCAGTGACAACACACATCATAAGGTGAAATGAAGTGTGCAGTCTGGAAGAAATAAGACAGCAGGTATAATCTTGATAGATGAGAAGTACAATCTTTTCTGCCTCTTCTGCAATTAAATTGGAGGTTAGGAACGGATCCGTCTGCCTGCACTAGAAAAGAAACATTGTGCAGAACTGCTGGGCCAACACTGTGGGTTTGGGATTTTCATTTGGTCTGTTATTGTAAAGCCTATAAAACTCTCTGTATTAGTTTTGTATTGCTGCTAACATATTACCACAAATTCAGCAGCTTAAACGATACCCATTTATTACTTCACAGTTTTGTAGGTCAGGAGTCCAGGGTGAGTAGTCTAGACAGGCTTGTATTCAAGTTACTAAAAGGCTGAAATGAAGATGTCAGTGGTCGGGCTCTGGGGAAGAATCTGAAAAACTCCAGAAATTGTATCTATTAGGCAGGTTTCCACCATCAGTTCTTCTCTGCTGGGTGCTGCTAGGGAGGTTCTGACCACCAGAGGGCGCTAGAACCACAATCCCTGTGGCAGGGGAGAGACGCCCGAGTTGCAGCTCCTTTTTGCCGCCTTGATACAGTTACCAATAGCATCTACATCACCTGGGAATTTAGAAAAGCAGACTCTCAGGCCCCAAACTCAGACCCACTGAATCAAAATCTTCATTCTGTCAGACCCCCAGGCAATTTGTGTTCACATTGACGTTTGAGGGGCACTCCAGCACAGTGCTTCTCAACCTTGGCTGCGTGTTAGAAACACCCAGGAGCTTTAAAAATCGCTTGATGCAAGGGGACCACTCCCCAGGAATTCTGATTATAACGGTCCTAAGGTCCGGGCTGTTAAAAGCTCCCCTGAGGATTTTAATGTGCAGCCAAGGTTGAGAATCGCTGCGAGTGTAGCTCATTCCACACTGTAAGAACCCTGTGCATAAGCTATAGTTCGTCCACCTGGGTGTAGACACCGAGAAGGACATAAAGCCCCACCCCGGACATAAAGCCCCAGACCTCAGGGGCCTCCAAGTTCTAGTGAAGTCAGGGCAACATGAAAATGTGAAACACTGAAGCAGTGTTATTTTGTTTTCAAAGTGCTTCAAAGACCTAGGTCAAACACCGGCTCCTCAGACAGAAATTCTACCCCACCCCCCAACATGCTTGGCGATGATACTCCCCGATAGGTGCTCCCTGACCCTTGACGGTGCCTCCTGATCTCCACCGGGGACTCCTGGAGAGCAAGAAATGTGTTGATTGGTTCCTGCAGTGTGTTTGCTCAATGAAGCACCCTCCACAATTACTACAGTAACCTGGGCAGACTCCCCGGCTGGTGGTGGAAACCGTGAGCTGAACTTCAAGGAATAAGGTACCTGGAGGATAGAGGAACTTGGCAGTGTTAGGACAGACTTCTAAAAATCTTTGTTCTTCCCTATTCATATAGCGCTTTACAGTCCGATGCACTTTTATGTACATTCTTTCGTTTTCACAATACCCATCTGTGTTAAGTTACAGTAGGTTAACCCTTCAGTAGTGGAAAACTGAGTGACAGAGAGGTGACCAGACATGATGAAATTTGCAGGATGAGTCAGGAAGAATTAGAAGAAGAAATTGCTTTCCTAAATTTTCTAATTTTCTAAGTGCTATTTCCAAGATGTGGCAATATCCAACTTCTGACCTCTCTTTCCTCACTGTTTGGGAGCATTTCTGGAAACTTTGTTTTTCCTTCTTCATTCTCCTCCCCCAGGTGGAGGGTTTGTTTTGTCATTCTGGAATTGTTGGTTTATCTCCGACCTAATCTCCAAGAAGTTATATGACTTCTCTTTTTCGATAGAAGATTCACCAGGTGTGGAGTAAATTCTCAGGATGTGCTAGCAATAATGATAATGATTTCATTGTATGATTCTTCAATGCAAAGAACTTATTTCTCATTGTGCCTCTAGCACTTTAACAAAATATTTGTGGAATGAATGAATCACAAATGAAGTGAGAAGATTTGCGAAGTTAAATCTGAGAAACGGAAGAAGATGCAGAAAATTAATCCAGCCATGAGTCTGAGGTGGAGTGGTGGGGTGTGGTTCTAACCTCTGAACCAAGAGCTGTGAAGGATGATGTATGTAGAAATACTGCCGGCACCATGGGAGGGAGCTGGTTTTATCTTCTCAAATAATGGCCAACTCTCTTATCAGTGCTCTCTATGGTACAGGAAAAAGATGTTAAAGTCTGGACGTATTTCCCGCTCAAATGAAATGCTGTAAATTTCTTTGAAGAATTCAATGAGCCTACAGATACTGACCCTTTCGATAAAGGCCTCCCTGCTCCCCTTCCTTCTGTCAAGTGTCCTTTCTCCTCTGGGGTAGAAACACTTCTCCTTCCTGGGTCCCCAAACAACCCTTCTCCTGCAAACATTTGAAGTGTAGGAAGGATGTGAAAGGTTGTGCTCTGGCTTCATCCCGTGTTTCTGCCCCATCAGGATGCTCTGAGGCCCCACAGCCCAGGCCCATGCCTCCCTGATAAGCTACCCTTGACTCCACCATCTCCCACTTTCTTCCTGGAGACTTGGCCATCCAAGGGCTGCAGTGCCTGTCCAGGGGGGTGCTGTGGACAAGACATGGGTCCTGCTCAGCCCCACTCTGCCCTTGGCACCAAGAATCAGTGTTGGTGTCGTAGGCCTTCTGTTCACTCCTGGTCCCGTACTTAGGGGCTCATGAGGGCCAGGTGATGGTGGGAGAGAGGCTACTGCTGGTGGACACTCAGGAATGGCAGCTTCGCTGCTGCGCGCGGGCTTTCTCTAGCTATGGTGAGTGGGGGCTGCTCTTCATTGCGGTGCGTGGGCTCCTCATTGCAGCGGCTTCTCTCATTGCAGAGCACAAGCCCTAGGCGTGTGGGCTTCAGTAGTTGTGGCACACGGGCTTAGTTGCTCCGTGGTATGTGGGATCTTCTCGGACCAGGGCTCGAACCTGTGTCCCCTGCATTGGAAGGCGGATTTTAAACCACTGGACCACCAGGGAAGTCCCAGTGGGTCCTTGTCATTTATCTATTTTATATACAGTAGTGTGTATATGTTAATCCCAAATTCCTAATATATCCCTTCTTTCCCCCTTGGTAACCATTAGTTTGCTTTCTATGTCCAAAACAGTTATTTTCTACAGAAAATCTTGTATTTGGTCCCGAGAAATCCTTGTAGAAATGAACCCAAATGGAGAAAAAATGCGGTTAGGTTTTAGAACAGGCCATCCTTTCTTAGACTATGTCTCGGGTCCCTCCTTCCAGTTTTTAGGGTGAGAATAAAGTTTATAAAATTAGAAGACAGAACAGAAAAATAGGTGCTAGGAAGGAAGCTGGGGAGATGAAGGAAACCCTTGGGAGGCCCAGTCCTTAATGCTCTAGTTGACAAAATGTAAAAAATCCATCTTCATCCCTCCTACCTTGTCCTTGTCAAGGTGCTGATCCCTTGGGAACTCAAGGTACACGACGCCTCCTCCCCAGATAGTCCCAAGTTTAAGGGCAGGAAATGGTCTTGGACTGGATGCCTTTGCTCTGAGAGCGGCAGCACAAACAATTCAACCCGAGATGGTGAAGAGACAAAGCAGAAGTTCAAGAGAAACAGATGCGCCAGTGATACGGTATGGGAGCTCGAGGCAGAGGGTGGCTGGGAGGCACCATCCAGCTTGCCCCACAGACAGCCAGTGAGCACCTGTTCTGTAGAAATGGAGCTCAGTCTAGCCCAAAGGCAGAACTCTCAATATGCAAACAAAGAACTGAAGGGGAGGACGCCAGGCAATTTGGGACTTTCCAGGGTGGAGGGTGTGGGAAGGGATTTGCTAAAATCAGACACACTTGGGGGAAGAAACCTTGCATCTACAGAGAGTGTGGGTGAGATTAGGTAAGAAGTCAAAACTTACCAGACCACGTGAATACACTCAGAGAAGAAATCAGAAGGCACAGTTCATTGGAAACAGATAGATAACAGTCGGGAAATCTTGAAGTATCTGGGGAGCGCAAATATCTCATTATTGCTTATTATTTGTCAGAAATACAGAAGCCCACGCTCTCTTGAGCACCCACACAGGAGTGGAGGATGGAAGTAGCACTGACTCTCTCTGTGCATCAACTCTTCATGTGGAAAAATGTTTCAGAAATGGCACACAATCAGGACACCCTCAACTCACCCCCCTACCCCAGCTGGGAGGAGACTCCAGTGGGAGTTTCGTGACCCTGCTACTCTCCTGAATGAGGGAAAGGCAGAAATAATGGAATAAGAGGCAGGTGGTTTTCAATCCACAGAGCTTTTCCGATGGGGGAACATGGGGACCTTCACGTGGGAGCCTCACGTGCGGTGTTCTTAGGTAGCCCTGCTCCGTTTGAGATTTCGTTACCGCACACCAGCCCTTCCTGTGTTTCCAAGGACATTAAGTGCTAAAGAGTTTCCTTCTCTCCACAGTCCTGAGGCCAGCCATGAACTTCCCTCAGAGATCTGTCTGCAAATGCCGAGATCAGAAAAGGTAAAGACGACACTGGCTGTAAGCCCAGGTCCCCCACATCACTCAGCCCCTAAGAGGGAATCTGAGTCAAGCTCGATGTCTCCTGAAGACAGTAATCTTGTGCAGGAAGAGAAGGGTGGGTTCTGGGAAAAGATATGCCAGGGGAGGGGAGGGACATCTTGACTCCAGGCCTCTTGGGGGGTTGATCACGTCAACATGCTGGGGACTCCAGGGCCAGCCCTGACCTCTGTTTGCCAGCTGCCCACTGGACCTCTCCACCTGGATCATGCACGGGCATCACCAACAAGTTGTCCTAAATAGAACTCTTGAGGTTTTTCCTCAAAATATTTTCTCATTTCTATCTTCCTTTGCCCCCTCAGTTGTTAAACCACAGGCTGGGCCCCACTTCTAAATATGGACCAAGGATCACGAATATTTGAGGAAAGCCTCTAACGTGAAAAGCCAAGAGACTCCTAAAGAAGAGCAAAGTGGGAAGACTTTCCATCCCAGATATCAAGACTAGTTATGAAACTACACATATGTATATTATACTTATGTGTATCTATGTATAAAATATATACCTGTTTATATCTGTGTTTATACATATGGTAATTAGGTATGTATAACTAGCATAGTGTGGTTTTTGCACAGGGATAGACAAATGAAGCTGTGAAACACCCATGGATGGGTGGATAGATGGGTGGATGGATGGGTAGATGGATGGATAGATAGATACTCGATGTGTGACAGAAGGAACGCAAAGACACATGTAAAGGAATGTTCACGCTAGCACTATTTTCAACAGTCCAAACTGGGAAGCCCTCAAATATCCATCAACATAGTCAATAAGTACATAGTGCTATTTATCTACAATTTATTTCAGCAGTGGACCCCTATACAACATTAAAAATGAAGAAGTTTCAGCCACACACAATAAAGTGGATGATTCACAAACAGAATGTTAAAGGGAAAAAGCCAAATACAAAAGACTTCAAAGTGTGTTACTCTATTTCTATGAAGTTCAGAAGCAGGCAAAACTAAACTGGGGGCCTCCCTGGTGGCGCAGTGGTTGAGAGTCCGCCTGCTGATGCAGGGGACACGGGTTCGTGCCCCGGTCCGGGAGGATCCCACATGTCGCGGAGCGGCTGGGCCCATGAGCCATGGCTGCTGAGCCTGTGCGTCCAGAGCCTGTGCTCCGCAAAGGGAGAGGCCACAACAGTGAGAGGCCCGCGTATCCCCCCAAAAAAAAAAAAAAAAAAACTAAACTGGGCTGTTGGGAAACATATGCTCAGGTAGTGAAACACTAAAGAAACGCAAAGGAAGGGATTAACATAGAAGTCGGAGTGTACTTGTCTTTGGAGGGGAGGAGGGTTTGGCTGGGAAGCGTCACTTGGTGGCATCTGGCGGAGGGTAGGGGGCGGGTTGGGCAGCAACATGCTTTTTCTTGACTTGGGCGGTGGGTCTATGGGAGTTCCTTTTATGATTATATATTAAGCTATTTACATTTTATGCCTTTTTTGGTGTGTATCATCTGTCACAAAAAGCTTTTTGAAAACAAAATACCAAAGGGAAAACGAATCTAAGAAAAGATATGAAAGAACTTGGTAAGAAACATTATTTTTCAAAAGTAACTTAGCACATGGGGGTGGCGGCTGAGGAACAATGAATGAACTTAATGCTCCTGAACTGTACACTTAAAAAGGTTGAGACAGTAACTTTTATGTTATGTGCATTTTGCCACGACTTAAAAAAAAAAACAAACCTAAACTCTCAGAGAGGACATTAACACATACCTAAATACGTGGAGTGTGACCCCATGTGGACGTTTTGGAAAACTCAGTATTGTAAAGATATCAGTTGTTTGTTAGAGCATAACAATGAAACTCTCATTGTTGATTTTTCCCCCTTGGAACTTGACAAACTGACGCTGGTAGCACAGGAACAACACAGCAAGACTTGCTTCACCAGATATCAAGACTTACTTTAAAGATAAAGTAATTGAGGAGATATCTTATAGACTCGGAGTCAGGCAGATCCACAGAACCAGCCTGGGCACTTAGAGACAGAGCCCACAGGTGAGGCACAGACGGCCGGTCAATCAGGCGGACGCTGGCTAACCCAGGAGTCACGCAGGAAAGCACATCCAGGAACATTCAGGGCAGCCCCACTGCTCATCAGAGCAGAGAGCCGGAAACAACCCAGGGTCTATGGGCAAGAAAAATGGATAAATAAATTGTGGTGTTCATTTCACAAAGGAATATCGTGCAGCAGCAAAAATAGGTGACGTGTAACTACCTGCTCCCTAGGGATGAATCTTAGAAATAACGTTGAGTGAGAAAAGCTAGTCACAGAAGATGACACATGGAATGACTCCATTTTATAAAGCTCAAAAGCAAGTAAAGCTAAAAATTATAATGGTTAGGAATGCATACCAATCTGATTTCAAAACAGCAATTAAAAGACGTGAAGCGGGCTTCCCTGGTGGCGCAGTGGTTGGGAGTCCTCCTGCCGATGCAGGGGACACGGGTTCGTGCCCCGGTCCGGGAGGATCCCACATGCCGCGGAGCGGCTGGGCCCGTGGGCCATGGCCGCTGGGCCTGCGCGTCCGGAGCCTGTGCTCCGCAGCGGGAGAGGCCACAGCAGTGAGAGGCCCGCGTACCGCAAAAAAACAAAACAAAACAGCAATTAAAAGACGTGAAGGAATGATAACTGACAAATGAGGGGTGATGGAGGCTTTTGGAAGGGAGGCAGGGGTGGGATAAGGCAGTCACAGGGGGACTCACAGTGATGTGCTGGCTCTCAAATTGGGTGTGGGGGATCATGGGGTTCATTTTACTGTTAAACTTGGTAACTCACAAGTAGGATGCAGACGTCCTTTACCATGTGTCAATTATTACATAATAAAATTGGAAAAGAGCTAAGCCACGGGGAATGCCAGCTTTTACAGATCAGGTGGAGGAGACAGAGCTGTGTACAAAAGTGAGGTGGAGCTGTCAGTGGGATGCCCTTGAGGCCAAGAGAACCCACCAGAAAGAAGAGGGGTCTCCCAGGCTCCCGCCTCTAGGAGCAGGGCTGGAAGATGCGGACTGGAGAGAGTCTCAGATTTGGCCACCTGGGGGTGGTGTCTGGGGTTGGAGGAGCAGTCCTGGGGGAGAAGTGGGGACAGGAGGGACATAGTGCTGGCTGCCGCCAACAGGAGACATGGAGCAATAGAGGCCTAGGGTGAGGACAGCCCCTTGCTCCACGGGCAGTCAAGAGGGAAGGGCCTCTTCTGAGATATGAATGCCCCCACCGGCACCCCGCCCTTCTCCCAGGAACAGCTGGCCAGAGGGGAACATGACTCCAGCTGGACACGCTATCCCGCCTGACAGGGTCGTGACTCTCTGGCCCAGCCAGGACTCCTGGCAGGGAGAAAAGGGCCTGGTCACCTGCCCTCACCCTGGAAGTCGGAGCAAACCCTGTGAGGACAGAAGGAGGAGGAAGCCATAAGGTAGGGGCGCTGGGGTGTCTGGGAGGGACTCTGGGGTCCAGGCCTGGCCTGTGAAGTTCAGGGTCTTCCCAAACCAGGGGAAACCCTCTCTGGGTCCCACCGGTCCTCCTTCCCTCGACCCCCAGCAGCTGGGTGCCAAGAAGCCCTTGCCACGTACTGCTGTGAGGACAGACAGACACTAATCTCATCTCCCCAGACCCACGAGGCCTCCAGGATCATAATCACAACGGCAGGAGCTGGCCTGGTTCCCTCCCTTTGTGTGTCTTGGGAGGGGCAGTTGCTGAGCAAACAGGGAAGGGAAATCCTGGATTCTGCCTCTCTTTTCCGCTTCATCAGCCCGTTACTCAGGCCCAAGGGCCCACTCAGGCCTGGCTCCTTCCTGGCCCTGTGTGTGGGGAAGGGTGCCGGGGTGGTGGGTATATATTCAACCAGGGCTTGGCCTTGGTGAATTCTCAGAAAAAATAAACCCCAGTCTAGGGGCATGAACAGAGTTCACTGACCACTCATTGTGGCCCGGGCCCTGGGCTGGGCCCTACACTTGTCAGAGCTCCCTGACACTGCCCGGTCACCCTACGATGTCGCTATCTGGATCTCCAGTTTCCAGAGAGGAACCTGAGATTCAGGGTCGAAAAGGAGGATGTTGGCAGAGGTGGGAATCCCACCCAGACCTCTCTGACCCCCACACTGTGCTCTGAAGCTCAAGCTCACCCCTCCTCTCGGAGGTGCAGCGGGGGGGGGGAGGGGCAGGGTTTGCATGGGAACTCTCCCCTTCACCTCTTCACCTCTTCTTTCTCCCCCAGAGACCAAGACCCCCAACCGGGCAGGCAGAACTCTCCCCATGGCTGGGTTCCTGCCCCTGCTGCCTTGCGCACCCCTGCTGACCCAGGACGGTGGTGCCCAGGACTCACCTGTCCCCCCAGCCAAGTGGCAGAGCCAGCAGCCACAGGGTGGCAGGGCCCAGGGCCTGGCCTCTAAGCCCTGGAGGCTCCCAGAGGTGCCCTCCATTCAGATAACGCCAGCCAGCGATGGGGACTCACCCCCCTGCACCCCACCTCCCCAGCGCCTGCAGCTGCCGAGGACCCCAGACCTGGAGAGTTTGCCCCAGGACAGGTCAGACCTGGGTGGTGGGATGGGAAAGGGGTTCTCTCTCTCGGGACCCACAGGGTGGGTTCCCTGTGGCTGGCACTCCAGGTGGGGAGCTGAAGGTCAGTTAGAATGTGGCCTTAGCCCCACAGGGGCCTGACTGGAAGCTGTGAAATAGATGCAGAAAAAAATTGCAGCTGGGAATATGTGTTGGGATAACCAACTGAGCTCAGCTGAGCACTGCTTACTAAGACCAGAGGCGAACATTCTCTTTTGACCCGCCTGGTGTTTTTCAAACTGTGGGTCATGACCCATTTAAGGGCTGCTGCAACCGCTGCAATTGCTACACGGCAATCAACACTTTTCCCCAAACAGAATCAGGAGAGAATCGAAAATAACAGTGTTAAAAAAAAAAAGAAGAAGAAAATAACACACTGTATGAGGCAGTGAACAAGTGTGGCTTCCTACAAATGTTGTGACATTACATATACAGCTGTCCCCGGTATCCGTGGGGGTTCCAAGGCCCCTGCAGATACCACACTTTGCAGATACTGAAATCTCTTATACAGGGCTTCCCCGGTGGCGCGGTGGTTGAGAGTCCGCCTGCCGATGCAGGGGGCGCGGGTTCGTGCCCCGGTCCGGGAGGATCCCCCATGCCGCGGAGCGGCTGGGCCCGTGAGCCATGGCCGCTGCGCCTGCGCATCCGGAGCCTGTGCTCCGCAACGGGAGAGGCCACCACAGTGAGAGGCCCGCGTACCGCAAAAAACAAACAAAAAAATCTCTTATATAAAATGGCGTAGTATTTGCATGTTACCTACTCACATTCTCCTGTATACTTTAAATTACCTCTTGATTACTTATAAGACCTAATGCAGTGTAAATGCTTTGTAAATGGTTGTAAATACTATGTAAATGGTTGCCAGGCAGCAAATTCAAGTTTTGCTTCCTGGAATTTTTTTTTTTTATTGAAGTATAGTTGATTTACAATGTTGCGTTAGTTTTAGGTGTACAGCAATGTGATTCAGTTATACATACACACATATACCTATTCTTTTTCAGATGCTTTTCC